CCTTCTTTGACAGGTACGGTGGTGGTGCCAACTTTATCCATGATGGTTACAACAAAGGTACAGCTTTGGGTGCTGAGATTATTGGTACCTTTGTTCTTGTTTACACCGTCTTCTCTGCAACTGATCCTAAAAGAAACGCTAGAGACTCTCATGTTCCTGTAAGTATTTTTACACTGCAACAAATTAGTTATAATTCATCATTTTTTATTTTTAAGTATAAGTAACTTGGTCAAATGATGGATAGGTTTTGGCACCATTACCTATTGGATTTGCTGTATTCATGGTTCATTTGGCTACTATTCCGATCACCGGTACCGGGATTAACCCAGCAAGAAGTTTCGGATCTGCTGTGATCTTAAACCAGGGCAAAATTTGGGATGATCAGGTCAATATTTAAATAATTAAATTAAATTTTATATTATTGATTGCGATTGTCGTAGTGTGAATTAATCAAAATACCGTTTTGTTGCGGCCGTGATCTCGAGTTTTTTAAAACGCTGTGTTTGGTATTTTTAATTTTGGTTGCTAAGGTAAATAATTTTTGTGATGATGCAGTGGGTTTTCTGGGTTGGACCAATAATTGGAGCAACAGTGGCTGCAATTTACCACCAATACATTCTAAGAGGATCAGCAATTAAAGCTCTTGGATCATTCAGGAGCAATGCTTAATTGATTAATTAATTAAGCTAAGCTAAATTGCTTTATTTGCCAATGAAAGCTATGGTGTTAATTTCCACACAAGAATAATGTTGATGAGTGAAAATTAGTGGTCCTTTTAGGGTTTTTTTTTCTCTTTTGTATTTTCCTTTTCAGCTATAGCTGTAGTGGGGTTTGGAGAAAAAAAAACAAAAGAAGGGACCATGAAATTGTATATATCCATGTTTGTGTTTCAAGGGTGTAATTTTAATTTGTATCCCTTTTGTGTCTTTTTATTTTTATTTTATTATTTCCAATGTATGTATTCCATTCCTATGTGTTTGTTTTTATATTTTGTGTATCCTTAATTCTCTTTCTTAATTAAGGGGCATATTTCTCATCCATCCCCTGTTTTTAATTTCGCATTAAAATTTGCTTGTTTCTCAATGTCTTATAAACTTTTGTCTGGGTTTTATATACATATTTCAGAATTAATTTACATAAAGTCTTTTAAAAAATTCATAACTGAATTAAATACAAATTTTTACAAATTGATATCTCATAAGTTTGGTCTAGATCGACCGAAACATAAACGTGAGAAGAAGATAGGGCTTGTTGAATTGAACATAAATCTCTCTTAATTATAATTAGGTACGTATCATCATCTTTGAAAACTAACAATGTAAAAAAGGTGAAGTATCATGTTAGAAATATAAGGAAAAATTTGGTGTGCCATTACTCTTTACTAAATATGTTTTATTAGCTTCTTGGATCTTCGACTTCTTACGTTATCCCCAAAATAACTAAACATTATAATCATCTCATGCAATTAGCTTTTTAAATATAATTAGTGCCTAATTAATCATGACAGCTGTCATATATTTGATAATAATTTCTGTTGGGATGCTTATCTTATCCTAATGTATATTAAACTGTTGAAAATAGTGAGCTTCACTAAAAGCTACCTAGCACTATATAATAGATTAACTTTGTGGTGGTGGTGGTGGTTATTGAACGTGACATGAAACTTTGGACTTTTTAATGAAATTCACAATATAGTTGCTTGGGACAGTATAGTATTTGAGTAATTAAAAAATGAGAATGAAAAGTAAACAAGTTAGGTGGGTTATTTGGGATTCCTTACATCTGCATTTGATAATTTATTATTTCATATGAATAGATAATAAAGATTGGTGAGGTAACACCTTATCTTCATTACCATATTTTATGCCATAACTATTTTGTAGACATTGGTTGCCTAGGTTAGTTGATTAGTGTGTACAAATTTTCTTTTATATTTAATAATAGATTAGTGAGGTAACTCCCTATCTCAATAAATTTTATACCTTAATTAATAATTTTGTAGCCTCAATACATAGGTATGCCTTGTAATAGAAAATGTGCATAATTATTAAAATATATTAGAAATATTTTTTTCATTCTTTCTAATACTCATTCATTTATTAAACAATATATGTGAATCATTTTTTATATGAAATTTATTTCTAAGATGAGAAACTAATATATATATATATATATATATATATATATATATATATATATATATATATATATATATATATATATATATATATATATATATATATATATATATATATATATATATATATATATATATATATATATATATATATATATATATATATATATATATATATATATATATATATATATATATATATAATCAAATAAAAAAAGCAAATATTAGAAAAATTAATTAAAAAAATTAAAAATTTTAAATATAGTAAAATTACTTCATCTACGTATTAATAAATAAATAAAATTGCCATAATACTATTAAAAAATGTATAAAATAAATATTATTACATTTATATTTCATTTTATGTTACATTTTTATATCAAGTCTAACGTATATTTGCAAAAAAGTTATTTTTTTTCCTGAGAAATTGTAACTATTTATTTAAAAGAAATTAAGTTATTTTACCATATGTGTGAGACTTGTTTTTCTAATACAACTCTTAATATTAAATTTAGTGTATTGATATAAATATTATATAAACAAGACAGAGTTACACGATAATGTTTTTATATTAACTCTAAAATAATATTTATTTTTAATGTGAATGATATCATTATTGATAATTTTTTTCATGTTTACTTTTGTTCTATTTTAGGTCAATTTTGAAATTTTTAATAATTTATTTTATAAATGTTTTTAAGAATAATTTTTAAAAAATATTAAAATTAAAGTTATCAAACTCGTTTAGATTAATAAAGTTGAGAGGTGCTATAGCACGAGTAAATTTATCTGATATTTTAAATATATATAAATTTAAAATGAGTGACTTAATTATAAATGAATAATATCATATAAACTCAGTTGTAATAAATAATTATATATAAAAAACTTGTAAGATAGAAAAAATAAAATTTTAACATTTAAAAATAAAAATTGTCACTCAAATAAATATATTATTAATTAAAATAAAATAAATATTATGCTGATAATGATCTTTGAGATAAGAAAATTATTTGATGCTATATAAAATGTTTTTATATACAAATGCAGAATTTGAACGGATTTACTTAATTATAAAATAAATAATAATCATATAAATTTAATTGTATTAAATAATTATTAAAAAAAGTAAGATAGAGAAATAAAAAATTAATATCTATCATATAAGAAAAATCAGCCTGCTCTTTCCACAACAAGTCACGTGGATGACTTAACATTCCTCCTTTCCATTTGTTTATTATCCTAATATTTTCTATTTTCTTTATTCATTATATTTCACGATTATTTATTATTCCATCATCATTAGTTTCTGACTTTTATTCTTCTAATCTTTCAACTCCTTCTATTATTCATGTAACCGTTTGTATTCCAAATGAATGAACGATTTTGCCATCATTACCATGAAACCGATTCATCATCTATCAATGGGATAAATTGCCTTTTTTTTTATCATTCCAATTCACTTTGATTATTTTGGTTTTAGGGTCTGAACGATTTAAATGGTAGGTATGTGGTTTGATATGAGTATGTCATATTTTGAGTTTTTTTCTCTGGCCAACGAAAGAAGAAATTAGAGTTTTACGGTATACACCTTTTTCTTCTTCTACAGATCTTTGCTTAATCGATTTACAATGCGACGTTAGGGTTTAATCTATTTATATTCATTTGCAGATATGATTGCTTTTTAATTTTGTTTTTATTTTCTACGAAATATAACAAGTTTTTATTGATTATAACTATTATATAACTTTTTGATATTATGTGATCTAAGAAGATATTCTTGTGTAGAGATTCGTAAATCGGAAGGAGATTAGATCCTGTTATTGGGAAAATTTATCATTTGAAGTTTTCTTCTTCAGAAATAAAAGAAATTGCTTATAGGCTTAATCAACCTTTTGATGATACTGAAGACAAGGTATGTCCCCCTATTTCAATAAAAAAAATTATTAACATGAATCTTCTGCTTTATTTATTGTTTTTAGAGGTAAAAATGTTAGTTTTAGGTTATATTTATTAACATGAATCTTATGTTTTATTTATTGTTTTTAGAGGTCCGGATCATCGTTCAGAAGATGTGCAAAAGCGCTGGAATTTTTTTAAAAGAATTTGTAACTTTTACCTATCTGATAAGCATTAACGTTTATGTATACATGAGTAATAATTTGAATAAATAGAAGTGATTCTCTGTGTGTTTGCTTATTCAATTCGTTCATATGCCAAACATTGATAAGTATTAACGTTTCTGCATATATGAGTAATGATTTGAATAAATAGAAGTGATTCTCTGTGTGTTTTTTATTCAATTCATTCATATGCCAAATCATATGTTGATTTGATTCTCTTTCACACAGCGCTTCCAGCAGAGTTCTACTTCGACAGCGAGAAGAATCATTATTTCCCAATAAAAAAATCTCATTCCCGATCAGGTATTATGATAATTTCTCAATTCTAGAACAGTTCTAATGTTTGATTGAATTCAACTTTTCTAAATTCTAGAATAGTTCTGATGTTTGTTTGAATTCATTGAATTGAATTCTGAAACATTTACAAGAGAACACGAGGACACATGGAAGAAAATTTGGTGCTTGAATTCATTAAATTGAATTCCGGAACATTTACAAGAGGATACGAGGACACATGGAAGAAGATTTGGACACATAAAGTTCTACTTCGACAGAGAGAAGAATCACTATTTCCCCATCAAAAATGTCATTCCCAATCAAGTATTATGATAATTTCTCAATTCCAAAACAATTCTAATGTTTGATTGAATTCAACTTTTCTCAATTCCAGATTATTTATAATGTTTGCTTGAATTCATTGAATTGAATTCTAAAACATCTACAAGAGGACACGAGGACACATGGAAGAAGATTTGGCGCTTGAATTCGTTGAATTGAATTTCAGAACATTTACAAGAGGATACAAAGGCACATGGAAGAAGATTTGGCCACATAAAAGTCCTACTTCAACAGAAAGAAGAATCACTATTTCCCCATCAAAAATCTCATTCCTTCCTGATCAGGTATTATGATAATTTCTCAATTCCATAACAATTTTAATGTTTGCTTGAATTCATTGAATTGAATTCTGAAACATTTACAAGAGGACACGAGGACACATGGAAGAAGATTTGGTGCTTGAATTCATTGAATTGAATTTCGGAATATTTACAAGAGGATACGAGGACACGTGGAAGAAGTTTTAGCCACATAAAAGTTTTACTTCGACAGAGAGAAGAATTACTATTTTCCCATCAAAAATCTCATTCCCGATCAGGTATTATGATAATTTCTCAATTCCAGAACAGTTCTAATGTTTGCTTGAATTCATTGAATTGAATTTTGAAACATTTACAAGAGGACACATGAAAGAAGATTTGGCGCTTGAATTCATTTGATTGAATTCCAGAACATTTACAAGAGGACACGAGGGCACATGAAAGAAGATTTGACCACAGAAAAGATGATCTGAGAAGAAAAATTATGGAAAGAAAAAGGGTAATGTGAGGAAGGAGATTTCACTCTAATATCATATTGAAATTTCATAATTTCACACTGTTAAACATACTGACATAATATTTTTATTATTAAGAGTCATGATTTTTTATAAATAAATTATTATCACTTATTTTATAAAACTAAATGAGGAATTATTTGAGATGGTGAAAAAAATAGAGAGGAAATCATTTTATTTTATGATATAATAAAATGTAATTTATTTATTACTAAAAGTTCGACAACATTATTTATTTTTAAATCGTGTCAATCATTAAATGAAAATTTATAACATTAAAAAATAAAATATTGATCCAATTTGATGTCTCTTTACAAAAGAATTAAACTATACAAATATATTATACTAATAGTTATAGTCTTTCTTAACGATACTATAAAATTTTAATCTAATTATTATAAATAATTTCTTACTGATAGACATATATGATGCTAAAATTAGTTGATACACTTTTGATAATAAATAAATTTCAAATTATTAAATAAAATCTTTTTCAATTTTTTTTAAAACTCATATAACTAATATGATTCTTATAAATCTTTCTTAAAATAATTATAAAAAAACATATTTTTAAATAAAAATGTGAATTTATAGTGAAATAAATATTTACCCTCAATTTTAAACAATCTTCACAATTTTTATAATAAATAAAATTGTATTCAGTTCACTTAAAATATGCTATAAAATTGATCATTTTTTAAATATAATACAAAGTTATATTAAAAAACATTATATAACAAAGAAAAAAGGCAAATATTAAGTAATGACTGCACAACAGTTATGTTCTAAATTAAAAAAAAATATATAAACTAAAAAATGAAATTGATAAGTTTTCCCTCAATTTAAATATTTTAAATATATTTTATTTTGTTTATTATTTTATTTTTTTCAGACTAAAAAACAAATTATTATATATGTATTATTCTTTTTTTTTTAATTTACTAAACACATTTTGAGTTTTCATACGTATTTTATTTAAAATTTTATCAATTTCATTATTTAATTTAATTTTTAGAATTTAATGTTTTATAAAATAATTAAAAAAAGAATGTGAAATTTGTTTAAAAATAAAAAGAAATTATTTTTGGTTATTAAGATTCAAGATATTTTAAAGAAAAATATATACACAATTATTTTATTATAAGTTTACAATATATAAAAAATTATAAAAAATTTAGTAATGTATTAAATAAAAGACAATTAAATATTAAATATTAAATATGAAAACCACATAAAAAATAATTATATATTTATAAATGGGAACATAATAGTTTATTATTATACATAAAATAGTGTATAAATTTTTTTATCTATGAGTTAATAGGAGAGTCACACATTTTATTGGTGTCTTTTTTGAGTACAAAATAAACATACAATTTAAGTGAATTAAATAAACTTCAATATAAATACTAATAGAACCAAAGATAAGTAATGTATAAATAAATAGTATCAAATTATGACATTTTTTTATTAATCATATAATTTGTTTGTCATTTATGAAATTTAAAATTTTAACGAGACAAGTGAACGATAATCAATATATATTTATCTATATATAATATAAAATAAATGAAATATTAAAATTAAAATTTTAATAGGAAAATTTCATCCAAATACGAAATAATATAATACTGATTCACACATATACTTATATGATATGTGCATATGGTACTTATATTAACACATTTAATATCATAATGAATAATAACGAGAATAAATATTTACTATTGATTTAAATATTTTTATAAATAATTTCAAAACAAAAATATTTATATTTTTATATATGGAATAATATATTGGATTTGTAAATTGATTTTAATCAATTATATTAAAGAATTATTATTAATTGAATTATATAATTTGATTGAATATTTCTTCACTATAATTTGTCAATTTAAGATTTTTATTATTATAAAATATTTTTATTATCATCAAATTTTTTAAATAATGTTAATTTTATAAACATAATTAAATTTATTATTGATTTATATATTTTTATAAATAATATCAAACAAAAATAATATTTATTATTTTTATAGAGGGGAAAAATATATTGTTAAATCAAATCTTAATTTGTTATTTTTTAAAATATATGCATCATGTGGTATATGGTACTGATATTAAGTTATTGATTTAAATATTGAATAATAATAAGAACAAGTAACATGTGTTCTCATGAGTAACACACCAGTATCATGTGTTCGCACGAGTGACAATATCAAAATTCGTGCAAATGCACAAATTATTATATTTTTTTGTACAATTAAAGAAAATAAAATTAAGAATAATGTATTAGTCCAAACACGATAAAAATGTTATGTTATGTTTTTTAATTATTTATGTATCTAATATTTTTATTTTGAAATTATTTATAATTCAAGATACAAAATTATTCAAGATAATATATGAAAAATTGAAATATATATTATTGATATAAAATAATTTTGGTAAAATAAATTTATTTTTATTTTAAAAATATGTCTTTCTTTTAAAAATATGATCAAAATATTGAATATTAACGGAAATATGAAGTTACTGATAAAAAATTGAATAGTAACGAGAACATAAAGTTATTTATCAAAATATTGAATATTAACGGGAATATGAAGTTATTGATCAAACTATTGAATATTAACGGGAACATGAAGTTACTAAACAAAATATTGAATATTAACGGGAACATGAAGTTAGTAATCAAAATATTGAATATTAATGGAAATATTAAATTACTGATCAAAATATAAAATATTAACGGGAACATGGAGTTACTGATAAAAATATTGAATAATAACGGAAACATGACATTATTGATTAAACTATTGAATATCAACGGTAACATGAAGTTCCTAATGAAAATATTGAATACTAACGTGAATAGAAAGTTATTGATCAAAATAGTGAATAGTTAAGGACAACATAAAGTTATTAATCTAAATATTAAATATTAACAAGAACATGAAGTTATTGATCAAAATATTAAATATTAACGTGAATACTTAATTAGTGATAAAAAATATTAAATATTAACAGGAATATGAAGTTATTGATCAAAATATTAAATAATAATAATAATAATAATAATAGAAACGTGAATTTACTAATTAAAATATTGAATATTAACGGAATCATGATATTATTGATCAAACTATTGAATATTAACGGTAACATGAAGTTATTAATCAAAATATTGAGTATTAACGGGAACACCAAATTATTATTCAAACTATTGATGATATTAACGGACACATAAAGTTACTAATCAAAATGCTAAATAATAATAGAATAACTTTACTATTGGCTTAAATATTTTCGACAATAATTCTAAAACAAAAATAATATTTATATAAGAAACTATATATATTATTGATTCAAATATTTTTATATATTGAAAGAATTATAGACACCGATTTATTATCTCTTTTAAAAAAATTATTTTATTTTTATCATATTTTGGGAATAAATACATGTACCGTATCGGTACCCGTGCAAACGCACATGCATCCCACTAGTTTAAAAATAAGAATTGTCTCTTAAGATAATGGTTTATTAAAATAAATAGATATTATATTGATAGGTGTGAGATAAATAAATTTTAAATTATATTACCTAAGTGGGGATGAACATGCAATAGACATTGACCTTGATAGGTGGAGTTTCTTTGAAGCAACTGGTATTATTAAAGAACTTTGTAATCTTAAGTACTCAGATTATTGGTTATGGTGGCATAATATTATTTCGGGTAGGCATAAAAGAATGGTTAGTGATAGTGATGCTACTGAGGTTTATGAAATAGATTTTGAAATGAGTTGTAGTGTGGAATTATTTGTTGAGCATAGATTAGTTGTAGATGACAATGTTGATAATGCTAATAATGTTGAAGCTAATGTTGATAATATTGATAATACTGATGAGGACCCTAATAAGGGAAGAACACAAACATCTTACTGTTGTACCAATTGTGGTGTACATGGCCATAATGCAAGGAGTTGTTCAGTTCTGGTGCCTGACCCTGAAGCTCAAAAAAGAAAGGTATTGACTTAACTCAAATATGTTCTTGTTACTAACAATTTATATGTGATATTAATTGCATCATTTTATGTGCAGAAAAAACTAAAGAAAAATGCAACACAAACAATACAAAATGGAGTTGTAGCAGACCAACAAACTCATCCTAAAGCTTCTACCAAACAACAACAAACTTAACCTGAAGCTTTAACTAAAAAATAACAACCTCGGCTTGAATCTTCAACTGAACAACATCCTAAAATTCAATGTGATATGGACCAAGAATTTGAAATGCTTGCAGCAGATCTTTGTGCAGTATTTGGGGCAACACAACCTCAACCCAATGTCAATGATCTTACTTCACAAACTACAACTTCAAATAAAGATGCTAGTGATCATGTCCCAATTGTGGAGGTTTCACCTGTAATGGATTCACAAAACACAGGAGTTGGTTACTCACAAACCAACTACATTATGGTTGTACTTGTTTAAGAGATTGACCATACACCTCAGGAAGTTGTTCATGCACCTCCACCTAAGGAACCTGTCTTTGCGCCTCCTAGAAATCCTAAACCAGTTGAGTTTGGTATACTTATTAAGTAAATGTGTTTGTTAATAGCTTTAATGATATTGGCTTAATGCTTCTATTTTGATCGTGTCTTTGTAGATAAAGCAATCCAAACAAAA